GGCTTTGCCACCAAAGGGCATTTGGTAGTGGAGACATGCTACCAGCAGGTAGCTGGGGGAATCCGGATGCTGCTAAGCTTCCCACGATGCCCAGGACAGCCGGCTGCAGCAGGGAATTCTCTAGCACAAAATGTCAATACTGCCAAGGCTGAGAAACCCTAACTACACTCGTCTGACAGGGGCTTCTAGTTCAGAATACTTCTGATGGAAAAACAAACACCTAAAAACCTAGTGTCAGTATCAATCAAAGCACGACTCTGAGAAAGAGAAAAATGTGCAGGAAAATTGAGGTAGTGGGATCTGAGCATCCGAAAAGAATCTTGGCTCCATCCCTTAAGCTGTGTGATACTGGGTCAGGTATTTAGCCTCTCAGAGCCTCAGTGGTGTAACCTTAAGATGGGTACGGTGGTAGTAATAATAGCAAGCCCAGTTCCCTCATAGGATGGAGGGAAGCTCATGGGTAATAGTGCATCTGAAGGCACTTGGACATCAGGAAACACCACAACAATGTTTTACCTACAATGCCCAAAAAGATAAGGTTTCCTGGAATTTGACACATTTAAATATGAAGAGGGAGTTTTCTAACCTAGGGTCCTAGAAGGGGAGCCGTTTCCCCATCCTTTTCATGTTCTGAGTTGGGTGGTGGCGCACGATTTTAGCTTAGGTCATCAGTGGGCATTTTATCGACTCATGAAGGGATTTCCAGTCAAGAGGGCTTCAACTGACTCCGATTGCAGTCTCAAGAAGGAAAAACAAATACCAGGGACCCTGCTCTCCTCAGCACCACCTGGCATGGGGAGATGGAGAGTCCTACACATCAGGGCCTGGCTCTGACTTGAAAAGCCCCTTATTACACGGTGCTCAGGGTTTTCACAGCCCTGATGACACAACTGGCCACCCACTGGCAGCAGAGAGAGGATCTGTAATAACCCCAGGCAGCCCGGCAGCCCAGGGGGCCTAGAGCTGGGGCTAAAATTAATTTCTCCAGCTCAACTCACCTCTCACCTCCCCTCCCTTTTCCCCACCACTGCATTGTGTCAAGACAGTAATCAGAGGCTTTATAAAGCACATTTGTCAGTGTCTGGATGCTAGCTCTGGGCTGATTCTTCTTTTATTTCCCTCTCCTATTCCTCAACCTTTCTATTTTCAGGTTCAGAGGAAGAAGCTGCTTTTGAGCCCCATCTCCCAGAATTAACTGATATAAGGTTCTGGTGGCTACAGAAGTATTTTCAATTTTAGATCCTTCCTGGTTCACAAAGAGCATGTATGCTACATGCCCTGTGCCTGGCTGGTTTCTAAATATTTCACAGTGCAATGTTTCAGTAGAGCCATAGAAAACCCCATAAATGCCCATGAGGAGATTCTGGAGTTGACCTGAGAGCATGTCTTCAGAATGAAAAAACTCAGGTGAATATTCTACAGGGGCCACTCCACGTTTCTTTACTGTTTAAGTGTTAGCAGTAGAAAAATAGCACAACTAAGCTCCTCTTGATGGTTCTTATATTTATTACTATCAATTAAATACTATCAATTAAAGAGGAGAATGCATCACTTCCATAAAAATTATGTCCAGGTGGCTTTGTTCCTTGATGGCCAGATACAGGGGGTATTTTGCTCTTATGGTTGAATACAGATTAATTAAACATTGCCAGATAGCTCTGATGATGCTTTACATTTCGCTAAAGGGGTCCTTTCAGACTCACAGGAAAGCAGGAAAAAGAGAAAGTAAGGTGTCCGAAGCTCAAAAGTGAGCCACTCCCAGGAAGCCTTGACAGGAGGTGAGAGCTCCTTTAAACACTTTTCCGTACTATTTCCGTTGCTCCATGGAAGCACACTGCCATTGCCGTTGTCATTGTCATCGGGATGGCTTGAAGACCTTACAAATGAGCCTTTTAGCGCAGCTAAAGAACTCTCTTTAAAGGAGGATTTTCAACTCATCTCACAGTTACCACCTACATGTGCTTAGTGATGCTCACCTTTGTAATATGACACTTCACAGAAAAGAAATAAACCTAAGGTGACACAGAAAGAGTGATGCCCCTGCCTGTCGGTGCACTTTTCAACAAATCCCCCCATTTGCTGTGGGGGTGAGAGTGGGCATTGTGCCCAGCTGAGAACTGTAGAATCTGGTCTTAGTTCTGTCCCTTGTTCACTATATGACCTTAGGAAAGACCCAGCATCTCCCTGGGTCTCTTTTGAAATTTGAAATGTAGAAAAAGAGTATTTAGCCCTGGCTGGTTTGGCTCAGTGGTTAGAGCATTGGCCCGTGGACTGAAGGGGCCCGGGTCGGATTCTGGCCAAGGGCTGGTACCTGGGTCAACCCCCGGCCCCGGTTGGGGCACGTGCGGCAGGCAACCTATCGATGCATCTCTCTCTCATCAATGTTTCTCTCTCTGTCTCCCTTCCATTCTCTCTGGAAAGCAATGGAAAAATATCCTCAGGAGAGGATAAAAAAAAAAAAAAGCATATCTACCCTACCCAATTTAAGCCAGAATGAAGTAGCCTGTGTGCGTGAATACGTAATAGTTTAAAAAAAAAAAAAAAAGCTACCCATGTGTTTGGGAATCCTCATACTAATGTTTATTGAGTATTGACTTAATTGACCCAGAATTACGTTGAGCATTTTACATGCGTTCAACTCAATCTTCACATTAACCCTGGAAAGTAAGTATTATCATTACTACGTTTTACAGACCAGGTAACAAATACTCGGGAGGTTGAAGGGCTTCCCTAAGATTTGGAACTGCATTACCAAATATGAGGAATGAACACTTACTTAGGGAACCAAGAAAACAGAGTGAAAAATGAGAAAATGGGGAGAAAGAATCTGATGTTTTTAAAGCATTACAGTGATCATCAGAGTAGAAAAATCAGGCCTGTTAGATACTTCTACACTTAGTGTTGTTGTATTTTGAAGTATATGTGGAGAGAGGCACCAATATTTCAGTGCTCAGGGCATTTCAAAGTCTTAATCCACTGTTAGACTCACAGTGAATGGCACTCACATCCCAACGCCAGCCAGTTGCCTCCAAAGCCCATATTTATAACTGCCATACTGTATCATGTCCTATAATAATAACACTTATTATTACCAAGTAACAGTTACCAACAGTTACTAGTAATAATAGTTTTCTGTGGGAAGCAATGCCATTAAAGAAAGGTTGTTCTCTGTTTTGAAAACATAGGAAGCAACCTATAATTTGGAACTAACAGTACAAAGAGGTAGGCATGCAGCAAGGGTCACCGGTTCCCTTACATATCTGTGGCTTTAAAATTACCATCAAAGAGCCTTTTCATTGCTGGCAGCAACCTCATAGATTCTATACTGGCTCAGGGCAAGTGGTTAATATCAATTTAGAAATCTTTGAAATTCCTAATAAAAACATGACAAACCCTACAGCAGCACTGGAAGGGCCAATGATAACATGCATGGAGAGACACCGATGTTTCTTATGAGCAAATAAACAGCTTTTAAGACCTCGAGCTATTTTGATTTCCCCGCAACCCCCATCCCCCAGAGTTTAAGCAAGAAGCATTTAAAAATCAGGTCTAGTGGTGTCTAGTGAATTTGGCTGATGATAAAAATTCATAGTAGCTGTTAACACCTCTGGCTCCCTTCCAAGGCTCAGCGATAATCACATAAGGTCATTTTTGTGACTTAATTTAAGAAGTGCTAAGTGTATGACAGGAGACTCCCAGCAAAGGCTGAGCTGGGTATTGTATGAGATGGAGAGAGTAGATAAAGGGGTAGGTGGGGCTTTCTGCTTCAATAACGTGGGAGTCTTGCTTGGTCTTTGTGGACGCTCCCATAGTGCTTAAACTAGACACAGGAAGGCTGGCTATTAGGGGGAAAACCCAGTAGTACAGTTACTTCTGATTGGTTTTTAAAAAAATTAATGCTGAGTGAGGTATGAAAACATAATCAAAGCCTTCAGGTCACTCAGAACTCTTGGGCCATAATGATTAGTAGTTAAACAGCTCTTAAATTTCTGAACAAGGGCTTCTGGCTTTCTCATCTCTGTGCACACCTCAGCATAAAGGAAGTGAAAGGATGAACATGAGGAAATTATGGGGAATTTGGAGTGTAGGAGATTGACAGTGAGACATAGCATCACACCCACATTAATGGGAAGTTCAATATTCTGAGCTATTCTCTTGTACCCACCAGGTGGTAATACAATCGTGGAGGCCCTTAGCAAGAGTATTTTCCCTTCTGTTCCTGAAACATTTATGATCAGGATTCAGGGCTCTTTTCTTAGGAAAAGTGAGAGATGGGAGGGAAAACTAAGGGATTATTGAAATGATCTTTTAAAGAAGCCACCTTCTCTCCCATTGCCCTTGATGGCGCCATCTGGCTCAGGGAGTTTGTTGGCAAATGCTCCTTTACTATGAAATTTAAACAGATGATTAACCCCTCTCCCTCCTACACCAGAAGGCTTGCTATTAAAATGCCTACTAGCACCAATCCCCGCATATGAAGGCAGGCTTAGTGTAAGTGGGAAAAAAAATTGGCAAAGTCAACCAAATGAATGAAATCCCACCCTTTGTTTTTCTCTGTTCCCTTGTCTTACTGCTCACCCACTCAGGTTTAGTAAACTTCCTTTCACAGTCTTTCTGCTGTCTCTGGCCCTGTGAACCCTCAGCCACACCTACACAGAATCTAGATCCCAAACGGATTGTTCCAGGATGATCCACAATAGCTCGTGATAAAGATGCTGCTCCTTCCCGAGGCACCGCTCATCATTTGCAACACCCTGGAAATCCTACAGTAATGGTCTTTGGTATGAGCCAGTCAGGCTGACAAAAAGTACTCAGTGCATAGTTAGTGGGTCTCCAGAAGCTCCCTGCACTCGGCCAAGTCCTAAGGAAATAACTGATCTTCTCATACAAAACCCAGAAATGTACACTGAATATTCAGTGTTTTACCATTTAGTGACGGGCATGAGACAATTACCATTCAGAAGTAAGAATGGGAGAGCCATTGAGAGGAAGGCACGTACCTGTGGGGTAATGCTCGTTCACGGGCCAGTTGTCCACCTGCAGCGTGGCGTTGCCTCCGTTCCGAGTGAAGCGCACCACGTGGTATTTACCGTCATTTACTGGGGTTCTCTCCTCTTTGATGGAGATGTCGACTGTGCCGATATTGAAGACAACGCCAATTTTCCCCTGTTCCTGTAACAAAGAAACACAAAAGGCATAGTTATCACCAACCGCAAGCTTCTCCGCCTTTGAAGTTGATCCACCAACTAACAATACACATGTAGGTGCCCAGAGGGAGGTGTCAGCATGAAGCTAATCATTTCTCCATGGGCTTTCATCCTAAACACGAAAGCCAGTGGTGTCAAGCGACCCAGGTTGCTCTCACAGGCTGCACTGCACAGGTTACATCATTTAATGGCCCTCAACAGATATCAGAGCTGGTACCACAGAACTACCTAACGACTGTGCAGAGCAGCATCGCTCACTTCTGTGCGGTGTGTCAGGCCTGCTTTCTAGGGGAGTCTAATGAGGCATCGGGCCCTAGAGCACCTCACAGTTCAGATGTAGGGTTAAAGAGTGAAGCTAAGCCTGCCTGCACATGTTGGGTAATCAAGGCCAAGGGGAGGGGTACCGAATTGTTAGGAGCCAATGGCAGAGGAACTAGTACTATGGACCTACTCCCGAAGATGCCTCTCTGTAGGTCTAAAGCACAGACAATGCACCCTCAGTAGAGGCCAGTGAAACTGCACTGGGGTTTTCAGAGTCAGTTGGCTGTCCCCCTTTCCCCACTTGCAGCCCTGCTCCTAAGATTAATCCGAAGAGGGTATAATATTCAGTGCAAGAGCTTTATGTTATACAGCAGAAGGGATCTCTGATGCCCAAAAAGACTTCTGCAAGAGAAAACACCATGAGTCCCAGAAGATAGACACTGTGGCAATGGAGGGGATGGTGGCGGAGCTGGTGGTGGCGGTGCTGAAGGTGGAGGTGGTGATACCATCCACCTCCGAGGAAGTGAGCCGCTGACGCATAAGTAACAGTGCTATTAAAACTCCCAGTCTTCTCTAGTAATTAGCCACAACTGAGAGCTGGAATTAGTATTCCAGTGGGGCATGGGATGGAAGCAACCTTGCTGATCGGAGGCAACCGGTCTCTCCCCACCTCTTGGGAAGGCATCGAGGCCTGGAGGGCGCCAGGAGGAACAGGCAAAGGGATAGTCTGACTTACTGGCTGAGCAAGAGGTTGGACATTGACGGATAATGCCAGTGAGCTGTAACTCTGAGGCTCCGGAAGACTGAGCCACAATATTTATCCACCTAGTCTGCGATCCTCTGCGTCCCAAGTCAAGAGGCAGAGGTAGAACAGGAGGAGGAAGGTGATGGAAGGGGCATGAGGAGGGAGGACAGGGAAGGTTATGGGAAGAAGGTCCAGGATCCATACGAACTAAGATGTAAGAAAGGTTTGCCCGCACCTCACATTTAATAATTTGGTTTCATTCATTCATTCATTCACTTATTCATTCATTCGACACATAAATACAATGTTTATTAAGCATTTACTGTGCTTAAAGTCAATAAATTGCAACTTCTGGTGAGATTTTAGGCACTGGTCTCCACAGAGCTTGGTACACTTCCCATATTTATTCAAAGCCAGGCTTTTCTCCACTCGCCAGTTTTCCTGTAGTGTACGAACACACCTCGTGTCCAACCAAAGGATGGAGAAATACCCGGGAGCCTCGGCCTTGGAAAGGAGAATCTAGGCTGATCAACAAAGGCTGCTTTCAGCGCTCAGGGAGGCTGAGGTGCAGGGGCGACACCGCTGCGTCCTTGGTGCCCTGTAGCACAGCAGGGGCTGTAAAATGATGCCTGTTCTCTGGGGAAAGTGATTCAGGAGTCTCCGTGCTCTCAGGATCTCTGAAACCCCTGTTTACGGGGCACTGTGCTCTCAGTTTTGTTCTGCTCTATCCCCACCTCTGCATCTTCAGCACTAAACAGTCCCGAGCATTAAAATACGATGCGTGGATAAATGGCCTGATGATATGATAGGGGTTTTGCACCCTTCATGCCCACAATTAATGACATTATGATCCATTTTATTCTCACACCTTAAGTCTCTGGGAATCCAGAAATGACAATAGGACGTTTTGGCTTTTTCTTAAACAATTGGCATTCATTTCTAAGGGTGTGTGTGTGTTGGTACCTAGTCACCCTGGTCCCTAAATAAGCAAAGCTGTAGTAACCTGAGTCAGGGCCTGTTTAGCAGATGAACGGACAGGGGGAGTTAGGAAACCATGGCTGCAGACACCGCTCCTCCTCTGCCCGCCCCACACATGTGGGCTGTTACTGCACAACTGTTCTTTGATGAGAAGTCACTGTACGAACCCCGGATGGGTGGAAAGGACTGCTGGTGACTCAGCTCACCTCTGAGTCACTAATTAATCCTGGATGGAGAACAGCGTCCGGGGAGAGAGGAGACCTTTCAACCAGCCTTCTGCAGCTTTGCAGCCACAGCAGTGGCAAAGGACAGTTCTGGCTCAGTGAGCTGGCTGATCAGTGAGATATATTCTTGGGCAGATTCTCTGCAAGATCCATAATAGATTCAGGGAAAGCAGAGATTTAATCTCTGCCAGAATAAATATTTGGTCCTTATCGGAGGCTCCACACATTTGCCACCGCAATCACTGTTTCTGAGAGATCTTCCTAATCCTGCTAGCACGCGGCCCCTGTCGGCGGGGACCCCCACCCAGACGTTTCCCTGCGCTTCCTGCAGCGGGAAATGCGGCTGTGCTAGGCCTCAGATGTGGTCTATTTACTCGCGTAAAATTTCATTACTGCAGCCTCCCTGTCATTTGTCATGGGACCACAGTGGCATTATAATCTGTGGCTAACTGCTTTGTCTCAGTTCATTATAAGCCTTGTGGCAAATACCCGTAGAGTTGCTCAGGTGTGAATCCATCACACTCAGCTGTCATGAAAATAAACTCTCATGGTCCACGTGTCCAGAAAAGAGGAGCTATGAGGGAGAAAACCACTGGCTTCAGAGTCAGCCCTGATGGACCTTGGGTAGGTTACTTAACTTTCCTGACCCACTTCTGGATACTATATTATGGGGACAGGGTACCAGCTGTACATACTTCATAGGGCTGTTGTAAGACTGAAATGATATGATTAATATCCAAGCACTTTATAAATAATCAAATATTATACAAATATAAGGCATGAATGAGATCAGAAGAAACCATCCAACTGTTTGAGCATAAACAACACTAATTATTGGAGAAGTTCATTGATTCACCAGAAGGAACCTGGGTTCTAGTGCAACAGTGGTTCCATAATACCTCTGGCTTTGAAAGTGGTATGAGCCCGGGCAGGTTATTTAACTTCTGATTTTCCTACGTGTGGGCGAAGGGAAAGGCTACCTCTGGAGCTTGTGAGGAATTTAGAACATGCGGGTGTGAACCACCTGGCAGGTGGCCGTGCATACTTTGGGACATCAATAAACATCAGTCATCATCCCCCTCTCTTTCCCTCATTAGCGAAGTTAACGCAGTTACATGAGCTCCAACGGTGTTGGTTTGGCCACACTGTCATCAAGAAATTTGGTGGAAATAAATGAAGATTTTAGCCAACGGAACATTACAATATAACATTTGAGAGGTTGATTTCCTGTCACAATTTGGTGGTTTCTCTCTCTTCTCGTTCCTTGGTGCCTTTTATAAGCCTCTCCAAGACAAGCAAGAGAGCTGCAAAAACAGCATGACTATGAATGTTAATAACCCCATGCCCATCACTGTTAAAGTTGCTACCCAGTCAATCACTTCAACCTATGCTTTTCCTCAATATTAAAAACAGGGACAAGTGGTAAATCAGAAGATGTTACTAAAGAACCCTCAAGTGCATTCAGGGAAAAGCCGAAGGGCGCAGCAAGCAGCTGTCTTTCAATGGCCAGTAAGTCTTTCTTCATCGATGGTGACCGTTTACGAGCCCACCTGGTTGCTCAAATGAGCCAGCTTTCAGTTTTCTAATCCTCCATCAGCCACGTTACAGTGTGTGTTGTGGAGGTCACCCAAGAGATGCTGCCAACACCGGGGTCACATTTCAGGAGCAAAAATACACAAGGGTCAAGAAAAATCCTCAGGAATAAAGATCTCCCTGAGGGCGATTTCTTCATTCACTCCCGAGCGCCCCCGGGGAAGGCAGAATGCACCATCCGCCGTTTCAGAAAATTGCAGCTGACGGAAACAGAATGGGGACCCCCCGGGCATGCCGGGGAGCTGTGCAAAGGGAGCAGTTCTCGGTCTCTTCACTTCCAGGCTTCCCGCGGGACCTGGGAGTTCAGTGCGAGGCAGTCACACAAGGAGAGCGACATGTATGTGACCCCTCTTGGGTCCAGGCGCTGCCGGGTAGGTCTGCCACACCCATTTCAGATTCTGGGTCCTAGAAAATAAAGTCACCAGTGGCGCTGCTTACCGCATTTTTCTAGTCCCCCCAATATGGGCTCACAGTAAGAGAGAGGCTCTGGGTCCCTTGGTAATGTGTAGGGCCCGGAGAGCAGTGCTGACCCATCAGCTGGGTGTCACTCCTGAGCCATGCACTTAGCTGCTGGTGGGAGACCCTCCCATTTCCTCTCAACCGCTCCACCTAGCAAACTCCTGGTCGTGGCTGCTTTGTGGGCCTGGCTCCCTGAGTAAGGATGGCAACAACGAGCCAACTAGCAATAGACATAGAACATGACTGAGAAACAAAGCTCGGCTGCTTGATGCCACCAATTTTTTTAAGCTGTTTATCGCTGCAGCATAACCCCGACTACCTCGACGGGCAGAGGAGGTGCTTGCTTGGGAAATATTTTTTTAATAGAATAATTTTCAAATTCTTACAATTACCCTTCAGGTTTTATAGGTTAAAGAGAGAGGGTGAGATCATTGGGAACTCACCAACTAATAGGAGATATATTTAAGATTAGGATTCAGGTTTGTCTGAATTTAAAACCGATGTGTTTTCCACCGTGCTTCATTTCAGTCACATGTATTACTTGTTGCAATTGGAGTTATATATATAAGGTGATATATATTACATATTATATACTTTATATCTGCCTCACCTGTCTGTCTAACCTAACTGTGGGTATCTCAAACATTGGAATTGTTTGAGATAGGAGCAGGTGCTCGTAAATATTTGTTAAATTAATAGATACGT